CCCCAACAAAAGTTCTTGGACATATAGTCATTCATTCAGTACTTTGAAACCTACCATATTCAAAACAACAATTCCGGATAATACCAACAATCCCTTTTCTACGCACCACAGACTTTTGAAAACCAACGTATGGTGACAATTTTTGCATCAAATCTCCGACTTTATCAAGGACTAACATTCGTACCACCTTAAGCCTGCTCATGTTCGATAGAAATGTTGCTAAATGATGCAGCTCTACATGTTCATTATATTTCTCATTGCAAAGCACATCAAAAATCTTCTTAAGGGAGTACTGCGGTGTTTTTTCAACACTTTTCAAACACAATTCGCAACCTTGTTCCGATCTAGTTAAATTTGACAAAAGCATAGCTGCTTTATCAGCAAATATACAATCTTTGTCAACGATCTGAGGTAATATTAACTCAAAAGTATTAAGATTTTCTAGTTTTCTTGCCACGATTTGCGAAGCTGATGCATTTAAGAGAAACACGCAAGCGTCTTTCTGCACTCCTTGCGACTTCTCGCTGGTCAATTCAATAACTTTTTCGACCAGTTTCAAATTGTTTTCTATAAATTTAATGCCATCTACGCTTCCAGTTAGTCCAAGCAAGTATTCCAAAGCCAAGCTTTTCACGTCTTCTCGTGAATCTAACGACAAATATCCAAAAAGGTCGGTCAGTTCATTTTCAGGCGGGTTGGCCGCCATCTTGTTTTCTTGACCGAGGCAAGAGTTGGGAAGAGTAAGCACTAGTATAAAAATGGCGGGAAATCCCGGCAAATTAGAAATATAGAACACAATCTCGTTCCCAGAGCATGCCCGTTCGCAGGTTAAGGGTGGGCATAGCTCTGGAGAAATCGAATTGATTCAGGCCTGTGATTGGCTAACGGCAGATAAGTACGTTGGATTTCCAACGTGAGTTCTACGCATGCTTGGCAATTGCAGCAAAATATAAATAAAGTATTTGGAATTTCTCGTCGAAAATTTGATACATTTACACTGAAATCGAATTGAAAACAACTAGAAATTCTGGAGGAAATATGTACGAAAGCTTCGGATTGATAGGGATACAACTACCTGAAAAATACAAGGAGAACTTCGACGTTTCAAGCGAAGGCGCTTCGACTTGTACTGTTAGTGTTTGTATACATCGTACTTGACCTTTTATATACTGTCATATCTAACACTACGTATACCATAAATTCTGACAGGAGAGTTAGTGTAAATTTTAAAGCATAAAAATATATAATACTTATTGTTGAGGAAATTATATTTATCAGCAAATCGGTCAAGTACGATGTATACAAACATAAACAGTACAAATCGAAGCGCCTTCGCTTCAAACGTCGATGTTCTCCTTGTATTTTTCAGGTAGCTGTATCTCTATCCAACCGAAGCTTTCGTACATATTTCCCCCAGAATTTTTAGTTGTTTTCAATTCGATTTCAGTGTAAAATGTATCAAATTTTCGACGCGAAATCCTAAATACTTTATTTATATTTTGCAACATTGCCGAGCATGCGTAGAACTCACGTTGGAAATTCAACGTGAACAATTCGATTTCTCCAGAGCTATGCCCACCCTTAACCTGCGAACGGGCATGCTCGGGGAACGAGATTGATTGAAATTTTAGTATTTAAGTAAGTTAGCTCGTTTAGCCAGATCCCGGCTGTGTAAACCTAGACCATAAGTATTGCATAGGCGGGATGAACAATTCTTTATATGAACACGACAGACCGCTTACTGGGTTGAAATCAAGAAACAAAATTTCTGATTTTGCTTTTAATTTGACAACGTTTACTTGGTTTTATGTTTGTTTTGCAAACAAATATTAAATATGTTGCTATAAAGCAATGCTTTTTCTTGCAAATAAATGAAGACAAACACCATAATCGTTACGACATTTATGATGCATGACTTAAATATAAAGTTTTTTGACTAATTCTGGATCATTGTAATTTCACCGTCCGCATTTTACCATCTCGTCCGTCCGTCCGTCGCATTTTACTCTCTCGTCCGTCCGTCCGCCCGCCGTCTATCAGTCTGCATCAGCGTTTTACCCTAAACCTATGCGAGACGATTCGGTAAGAGCACCAAAAGGTGATCAGCACGCTTTATATACCATTACCTTTTATTATTTAGTGGAGTGGCGTCAACCACCATCTTGGGACAACCTGTATGGTACATCTAGTTTTTCATCCTTATTTTGACAAAGGGATTTAAGTAGAAATTGTGAATAGCCAGGTTCCAATTTTTGTTTTGGATGATTAACCTTGGTGACTAGTGCAAGGATATTAAGGCCCTGAGGTGAATAATTGTTTCTGGCCTCTGTAGTACTAGTACATAAACCGAATTGCACTTTTCTGCCTTATTTACTTTATGATACATAAAAGTATTTTGTGTCAATATGGTATGAACTCAAAATATAATATTTTTTATATGCAAAGCATAGTGCCATAGAGTAGTGTCAGTGTTTTAGATTTTTGGAATCACGCTCTCACCCCCGATAGAAACAGAATATTGAAGGCTTCTTGTAGATGGGGTTTTAGAGCGAAAACTATGAATAGTAATAATAGTATAATAATAATAGTCTGTGTCCATGACTCATGGATGAGGTCAGTGGCTTGTAAACCTCAAGATACACCTAATAAAACCCTTAACTACTTTTTAGCTATCCTTTTTGTAGTTAAAAGGTAGTTAACTTTAAAGATATAGTTAAGTAGGTTGTATACTGTATAAATCCCCGTTTACATCAGACCTGGACGAAGTCAAACCGGAATGCAACATGTTTACATGAGACCTGTACGAAAATCACAAAATTTTCAATTTATTCCCTTGCCAGGCCATTTTCTTTTTTAGATAGCTTTTGTTAGCATGTGTTGTTCCAATGTCAAGGTTACAGCTGAGACCGGTCTGAAATGTATTTGTGTTTACATTCATCCCAGTCTGAATTCATGCCGGTCTGAAGTCAGTCGGCTCGGTCCAGCAGGCGGAATGACTTGAGACCTGTCTGAGTTATTTTTGTCCTGGTCTCATGTAAACATCTATTATAGATAATACTATGACCGAAACGAAATGGTCCCGGTTTGACTTCGTTCCGGTCTCATGTAAAGTATCAAAGTTTCACTGTTCAATCATAATTTGAATATTCAAAAAGTCGCTCAAAGAACAATTAATTTCTCCACGGTTGATTCGCTTTAATTAAATTACAAATTAAATATATTCCCTTAAGTATACTTTTCATTATTTTGAGTTACACAAAAGACAAAATATACAACTGGTAGAAAAATGATTTAATGACAGTTCTATTGTGGCCATAAGTCGGAAACGCAAATAATGATTGAACAGTGGAATACTGTGATATGCATATTCTAATCTTCCAGTCAGTGTAATGAATGCAACTGGAACGCTACCTCCAACCGGAAATTTGAAGTCAAACTTGAAGGCCAGTCCCAGTCTTTTCACGCATGCGAAGAGCATGGTCAATCCGTCAACAAGAATATGTATTCTTGAAATTCGGCTTAGTTAGTTTTAGTTTTTTCTTATTAAAACGGCGCATAAAAACATTAATAGAAAGTTTTCAGCGCTGTTAAAAAGGTTGTCATGTAAATTTTAATAAAAAACTTTTTTTGTACATTTTAAGCCGGTTTTCAAGAACACATATTCATGTTGACGGACTGGTCTTCAAGTTTGGCTTCGAATTTTCTGTTGGAGATAGCGTTCCAATATATGGACAACTTGCATGTTAGACTAAATTTTAATCTAAGTAAAGAGAAGGGAATCAAACACCACGGCTAAAAAGAACATAATGGAATTAGTAAAATTGCAAAATTTGGTTGCGAAATGTTGTAAAGCTTGGAGAATATGGTCTTGCAAAGTTTGCAAATTTTGAATATGTTTGTGTTACGTGTGGATATTGTTACCATTTGTGGCTCAAAAACGGTAACAATTTCCGTACCCCTACAAACATATACAAAATATGCAAACTTCGCAAGGCTATATTTTCCAAGCTTTACAACATTTCAATGTATAAAAGGTAATTTTGGTAATTTCAATTTTACTAATTTTAATAAGTTCTTTACGGGAATTTACTTTTTTGCCTAGATCAAAAATTAGTCTAACATGCAACTTGTCTATTCAGAAGGTTGATTTATCCAGTTCTGGATCTAACTTATTTAGATCAGTGAGTGGCAACAGTATAGAGCCTTGATTGGGTGATTTAGACCTGGCCTTTAATTAGAACCCGTATCTAGAGCCTTTAATCTTGTTAGTGCTCAGCAGGTAAATCTATAAACACATTTTGCATATACTAAAATAAATTGCGTATAGGCTTACTTATGTCTGTAGTATAATCTGAACTTTAAATCTGAACGTTTGTTGAAATCGCCGCGAAGAATTAACGTTTTGTTTTTAATTACGTTCACTTGACATTGTAACATTTGTATTAATAACGCCGAGTTTAGTTTGGGCCATCTGGTTTTAAAATTAGCCCTGCGCTTGCCATTGGCTGGGCCGGTGTTCAAATTAAAATGTTTACTATAAGAACATAGCAAAAGCTGTATAAAGCGTGTAAAACTGTGTCAGGATTGAATTTGGCTACATATAAACTGTAATCTATATATAATCACGTTGAGAGGATGTACGGTTATCGAACAAGACATTTCTACTGCATTGGCTTGCTCTTTGCCTATCAAATGGTAAGCGTGACATTGTGTGTTAAATTTAATAAGTTTTAAACGCGCACTTAAAATTATTAGTGATTTAGCCTTTTAATATTTTGACTTACTTTAACGTAGACTGCCTTTGACATATTTCGTCTTCATCAGAAATTAAAACTACACTTCATAAAAAAGAATAGGCGAAACAAGACTCCGAATAGAAATTCCGGCCTAAGACTCAAAATTCGAGACGAATTTTCAAAGACGAAGGAAGGCAAATTTACGATGAATTTCGAATTTATTGCAAATTATTCTTTGCTAGAATATTACTTTGACTAGATTTGTGTCTTCACTTTTGTGTCTCTGAAGTTGTTTCTATACCTTAAAATAATGAAATAAAGGTATCTGCATGCAGCAATTATTAAAAAAGTATTAGACATATACTAGGCAATGGACCTTTCCCCTTATAACTAAAATTTTGATCTAGACAAGTCTAGACAAAAATTTCATCACAGCTTGAAAGAGCATCACAACATTAGTAATATTCCAAAGTTTCGTTAATTGCGAAATGTTGTAAAATGCGGATAATATAGCCCATGCGAAGTTTGCAATTTTCAGTCATTTTAGATTACAAACGGGAAATTGATGCCCCAACCTCAAAATGACTGGAAAACGGCAAATTTCGCAAGGCTATATTATCCGCATTTTACAACATTTCGCAACGAAACTTTGGAATATTACTAATTTTGTGATGCTCTTTCAAGCTGTGATGAAATTTTTGTCTAGATCAAAATTTTTGTTATAAGGGGAAAGGTCCATTAGAAAAATAAAATTTATTGCCACTGCTAAACAGCTGGTAAAAGCACCCCATCAATTGCTCAAAATTAGTAACATCGCAAATTTTGGATTAAAGCTTTGAGGTTCCGTTTGCAAGCGGAAGGGCTGAATTCTAAGCTTATATGCATGCAACGGCATGGATAAACTATGGATAAACCGAGTACAGCTGTATAACCATTAACAAATGGCAACCAGACGAATTTTGCACCGTCCCAAAAATCAAAATCTTGTAGATCAGCAACTGCATGGTGTGATATAGATTTAAAATTTTTTGTTATCTACACGGCACAGGCACAGCTGGTCGGACTACAGCAGCTCAAAGTTAGTAAATAAAGACATGCACTCAGCTTATTAAAATGAGCAATTTTTATGAGACGTGCGAGATTAAAATGAGACGTGCAGTGCACTCAACTCAACTTATTAAAACGAGGGGCTTCAGAATAAGTGAATAGAAAAGCGATCACGTGACAAAAAATAAACCAATCAACTTGTTCTAACAAGTCTGATACAGTCATGATAAACACGAATGTTACAAGGCTGACGACAAGGTTGTAACAATACTGTTATATCATAACTGTATCAGACTTGCTGGAACAATCTTGTAACAAGCCTGATAATGTCAACAAGTTTGTTACAAATTGTTAACAGCTTGTTCCAAACTTGTTGACAGCTTGGGACAAGCAGTGCGAACACAACTTTTTGGCAGACTTCCTACAAGATGTGTGATTTTTACTTGTGTAGTATAAAAGCATATATATTTTCCCGAGCCATGCTGCTTGGCTAGCTCGAAACGTCGAAATTTTACTTGTATTTTTCGGGTAGTTGAATCTGTAGTTTTCTGGTGTTTTTGTCACTACCTACGCTGAGACAGACGGTTCGAGTTAATTAATTCTCCTTTGATCCGGGCGTTACATTGCATGTCAGGATCATGTCCTCACTGTTTGCGTTTCTTTTTAAAAAGGTTATTATGTTCTGCAAATGCCAATTACATCTTTCATGCATGGCAGCTGCGTATTATGACATATATAATCATAACTCGTGTAGCCGATATTAAAAACCTGTATGATAACCGACACAGTGACGCATAATATTCAATATTGAGTTAATTAACTTAACAATAGACCTTACCAATTATTCTCTTTTACCCAATGGCCTCGTTTCCATGTTAACATATTTTAGCATGTCAGGGGCAGATAAAGATTATATTCCCATGTTTTCCTGGACGAATTTGTTTCTTGCTGTTCTCATTCTCAATAACAAAGTAATTTTCAACCCTACTAAGCACAAAACATGAGTAAGTATTTGACACGAAAACGAGGCCATTTGGTGAAAAGTGAATAAACGGTATATTCTGCCTGGAATTTTTTGCATGCCTATCAACAGTGTATTACCTATATAGACCGTTTTCAACTAAAGCCTGGTTCACACGATGAAATAAGCATAAGCACAAGCAGCGGAACCTTTGATGTGCATAAACGTAAGCATAAGAAGAACGCAACATTTGTTCTTCTTATGTTTATGCTTATGCACATCAAAGGTTCCGCTTGCTTATGCTTATGCTTATTTCATCGTGTGAACCAGGCTTAAGAGCTCTTTAATTTTTGCAGAAGCCTTTGTTTCCTCGTGTATCAAAAGAGTAATTTTAACACACAATCGTTGCTCTTGACATTACCATGGCAACATGACGTCACCATTTATCTAGCCTATATCAGCGAAAAATAAGAAAGGTGACCTACCTTCTTTATTGCAGAGAGTACATTATGACATTTCGAATCTTTTCAGAAAGTTTTTAAGGAGGCTCCCAGCTCCCATTCTTATTGAATGGTTTGACATGTAATCAAAATTATATCTTATTGAATGGTTTGACATGAGTATTTTACCAGTTTCGAACGTATTTTTCCGAGCCCTGAAAGGGCGAGGAAAAATGCGAGAAACGAGTAAAATGCTGGGCAGGATTATAATAAAGTTTGGTAATGCGGTTTGCTTCGGATCAAATACAAAAATGTAAGTAATTTTGTTTCTGCCGCTCTCGGTATACTGTAGTCAACTAGTCACTATTATCCTACCGAAGCGTAGCGTATTTCAAGTAGCGTATTTCGGTGACAAAGTGCCCTTTGTATTCGTGAAAAATGTTGTTCAGATTGCATTTTTGCCTCAATGGCCTTTAATTAATGCCAACATTTTCGGGAAAAATTGTTGAGGTGCCCTTTATGATTGCATTTATTTTTCTTCCCTCCCCCAGGGCCGTAGCGAGGTAGGGTAAAATTAACATATTCGGAAAATCGGGTTAGCCATTCGGAAAATTACGGCAATAATAGTATAACAAAATTTTAGTTGTTAATAATATAATTGTATTGTCAGTATAAACTGATTTACGAAATCATGGCATTTACGTGGATACCATTTAACTGAAATCGTAAATCGGTAAATGTTTTTCGGTTTATTACTTCTCAGGAATTGGCTGCGAGGTGGGGGCTGCAGCTCTCCCAATAATTTGCTAATAACCATTCTTTTTTCAAAATTATGCAACTTCCCCAATATATAGTTAATTAAATAAGCCTCCGCCCAAATAGTACAACTAAATTGCAAGCAAATTGTAAATTTCGACAGAATAAAACGCTGTTTTCTGACCATCAGAATTCTGTCAAAACTTTCCCAAAGTCCAGGAAATGGCATTTCAGAGACTCTAAATTTAAAAATTTCCTCGGGCCTTTGGCTCTCGTTCTCAACCCCCAATCAAAAAGAGATTCCTACAGCACTGCATGCTTCTGTAATACGTCTGTGCGTAAAATATGCGTTATTTTTGTTTGTAAATTGCGTCTTCATTTTCCGGATAGCAAACACCTTCGTGGCTTCGTAGGCCATGAAATATTTGGAATTATTTTTCGTCATTCGGAAATTATT